GGCTGCATTTTTGACGTCCTTTCCTCGTTAAACACAAAATTCTTCCAAATTTGGTCCGGTCAGTATCTGGTTATGGTGAATTATGCGTGTGCTTTTAGCCAATCAGAATTGGGGAAATATTTGAAATGAATAATAAGGTGTTTTATCAACTTATAAGACATCCACGAAGTAGCTCCTCGTCTACCATATTCCACAACCTCGTCCCCAGGGCTTTTCCCTTAAAAAAAAAACACCCATTTTTTAGGGGAAAAGCCCTGGGGACGAGGTTGCCATATTCCTGATAGAAATGTTGGTTTTCGAAGAGAGGGAAAAGTCGGATCGGACAGAAGAAAAATCTCGAACATGATGAGAAACTCAGCCCACTTGTGACGTCACTTCCGGGACTTGAACTGATAGGAGGCGCTATCCCTTGGCACCACTTCTGCTACCCTCGTTCCCCGTTTCGGATCCAGCGAAAGGAAAAAGCAAGACAAACGCTAATGATGCTCATGCAAAGTTACTTGATAATGACATAGATAAGAGAAAAAAATACAGCGCAGGTGTTTTTCCAGAACTCCCTTGTCGATTGCAGCGTAGGCGAAGATCCTGGGAACAAACGCGAGGGTGTAGAAAACAAATACACCATCCCTAAGGAATTGGGAAGAACTGGAAACAAGAAAGAAATCCAACGCACGTGATCTCGAGTGACCCGCGAGGGCTGGGGGCAAAACTTCATTCTTACATTCCAGAAACAAATTCTACACTAAGGAAATTATCTGAGAAACTGAAGAGAAGTTGGGTCCAGTGGTGACACTTTGAGAAACTGAAAGCGTAAAAATAAACAGTTATGAAATATTCATAATTTTTCTGAGGACCGAAACAAAAGAATGATATTTTATCGTGAAGGGATCGTGATTTCTCCCAAATTTTCTCTTCAAAACAACGTTTTATAGGAGCCGGCAAGGATGGCACATTTGGTTAGTGCACGGCCCTCGATGAGCGAGGTCCCGACTCCGATCCCTGTTTCAACTTCTCTCCCGTTCTATGTAGCTTTGACTATCTTTAAATACCCTTAAAACGGAGCGCTGATGGAGAGGTGGGGGGGGGGGGGGGTTGTTTGTGTGATCTGTTTTTTGATCCATATTTATGTAACAAAAAATAGTTGTGGGTCAGGCGACGAGGGTGGTGTTTTGTGTATTGCGGCCGCCCTGCTAGGACGGCCCCCCCCTCTCACCTTCTTTTTGTTGTTTGTCCTGGTTTTTTTTGTTTTTTACTTGATGATAGAACTTATTAAGGGGGGTGTGGTGGGGGGGGGGGGGGGGGGGGGGGGGTAAAATGGGCGCATTGTCGACCTCAAGTTTATCAGTTATTACTGTCACGAGTTATCGACACAAACGGGCGTCGATAAAACCCGGAACATGGAACATCCCGGAACATTCCGGAACATCCCGGAACATAAAAAAATTGAAATATTTTTTTATGAAAAAATAATTAATTAATTAAATAAAAATATTAATAAAAATAATAATAATAAATAATAATAATAAAAAGAACAACAAATAGAAAACAATTTTGCAAAAATTTATAATAACAAAATAAATAACATAACATAACATAACATAAAAACGAAAAATAAAGAAACAAAGAAACAAAGAAACAAAGACAGAAAAAGAAACTGGTATCATCTCCGAGTATGAAAAAACAATATTTTGTGGCAATGAATTTTTTGGGCGAGTGAGGGTCCATTCAAATGACAGTAATGAGTGAAGGCTTGCTTCTAAATTCAAAATATATTAAAATGGGTCGCGAGGAGGGGGTTTTCAAGCTTTCCTCACACAGTCACCTCTTGTAAATGTTTGCCATGCGGTTTAACGGTTATCAATTTACGGCTTTGCGACCGTAAGAAGAGCTTAGTGGCTCGTCGCTTTGGACTTGGATAATTAAATTAAACACTGACATTCGCCGCAGAATAGCTGCAGTGGCAGTGGTAGCGCAGCGGTAGTTTCTAACTGTTATCAGTTAGCTTGAATTTTAGTCGTCTCCCCGAAAACTCCTCTTGCGACTCGAGGAGACGTTTGAAATACCATGCTGACTGTAAACAGTATAGAAACTACTACGAATGTGTGTATTGTCCACTAAAATCCAAAGACAGGAGCCCCTATACTCTTCTTAAGTTTACAGAGCTGCCTAGTCTGTAAGTAATTCATGTCAACCTCAAGTGAAGCAAAGCACCTTAAGTAATTAAAGCAAATGTCGGTTATATATAAGGAGACTATATGTTGGCTTGACATGAGTTACTTACCGACTTGGCTTGACATGAAATACTGCACCGACGTTTCAGACCATCGCAGAACCGTAAATGGATAACCGCCAAATGATTAACTCATGGCAAACAATTACAAGAGGTGGTTGTGTGAGGAAAGCTTGAAAACCCCCTCCTCGAGACCCATTTTAATATATTTTGAATTTAGAAGCAAGCCTTCACTCATTACTGTCATTTGCATGAACCCTCACTCGCCCAACAAATTTTAATCTGTTGCGACAAAATATTGTTTTCTCATACTCAGAGAGGATACCAGTTTCTTTTTCTTGATTATTTCATTATTTTTGGTCTTTTTTTGTTATTTTACGTTCTTATTAATTTTTACAAAAATTATTTTATTATTATTATTTTATTCTTGTTTTTATTCATGAAAATTATTTTTATTTTTTCATGTTCCGGGAAGTTNGACGTTTCAGACCATCGCAGAACCGTAAATGGATAACCGCCAAATGATTAACTCATGGCAAACAATTACAAGAGGTGGTTGTGTGAGGAAAGCTTGAAAACCCCCTCCTCGAGACCCATTTTAATATATTTTGAATTTAGAAGCAAGCCTTCACTCATTACTGTCATTTGCATGAACCCTCACTCGCCCAACAAATTTTAATCTGTTGCGACAAAATATTGTTTTCTCATACTCAGAGAGGATACCAGTTTCTTTTTCTTGATTATTTCATTATTTTTGGTCTTTTTTTGTTATTTTACGTTCTTATTAATTTTTACAAAAATTATTTTATTATTATTATTTTATTCTTGTTTTTATTCATGAAAATTATTTTTATTTTTTCATGTTCCGGGAAGTTCCGGGATGTTCCGGAATGTTCCGGAATGTTCCATGTTCCGGGTTTTATCTACGCCCGACACAAACTGCGGTTGCTTTACCTTTATCTTTTTTATTGGCGAAGAGGAACTCAAGAGTGTTCTTGTCGGCCAGACGTCACACGCGCTAAATACAAGCTTTAAATACTGATAACAAAGCCGTAGAACCGGTGCATAAACAACATCTCAATCTTCACCAACTCGAAAAAAAAAATATTTTCTTTACAAATTGTCGGTCAAAGTTCTTTAAAAATCGCTAATTGACTGTGACGCCAATCTGCTTTTGTCTCCTCTCGAAATAATTTTAGGCCCTAAGGGAAGATAAGGATTTAAGGATAAAGGCTAAGGGCCGGCAAAGAATGCAAGTGTTAAATGAACTATGGGTTACAGCCATTTATTGTTTTCAAAACATGACCGGCAGCCGGCCATATAACCACTGCCAGCCTTTTCTTAACGCTTGAAAAATTTACTGAACAACCTTGCTATTTTTAGGAACACTGTAAAGCTGTTACGTTAAAAATCTATCCATATTGTTTATTATAATTTGTATATATCTGAACAACTAAACGGTTAGCAAGTGGGTCCAGTACATTTTTCCAGCTGAAGAATGTCACAGCAGTAAAGGTACTAAGGCCTAGGCCAAACGTAAAACCTTTCATGAGATGAATCAAACATATTGAAAAAGTTCGACGTCTGGCTCAGTTGAGTTCGTCTGAATGAGTTTGGATCGTCCAACACGTTCTATCCGTCTGCTTGCGGATAGAAGATCATAGAACGTCTGAAGATCGTCTCCAAGACGAACATCGATCTTATACATGCGACGCACTAATCTGATGAATTAAAAATTTGTATGAAAACGGGAAAAATTTATTAAAATTGCTTTTCACTCTGATTCAGTTGATTCGTTCAACGCGTCGTAAGTTCGACATCTGACCCAACAGACGATCTTAACTTAATTTACGTTCACCTAAGTAAGAGTTTGGTACGTCTCATTGAAGTTCGAAGTTTGCCCTAGGCCTAAAATCCTAACGCTTTTTTTCAAGCCAGTGTCAAAAAGTAATGATAAATTGAATATATTAGATTTTTTAACAACGCCTGAAAACAATCGAAATATATCAAGGATTTCGCATAGTTGTGACTGATAAATCAAAGCTTGGTTGACTCAGTTGGCTTCCTTTGTGCTCTGTCCCTAGCACCCACAGACATTTCAATGCCACTTTGCAGCTGGCTTTGACGAAGAGAGGAAGCAAACGATTTAGGGGAGGTAATTCTCAGTTTACCACGGCACATCTTCCAGCAATCTTGAAAGGCCTGGTTATACTTCGGTACTCTCCAAGCATACACGAAGGGATTGATAGCGGAACTTATGTATAGAAACCTAGACAAGGCTACATCAATCATGTGGAAAGTTAACGACTTCTTGCATGATTCACAAAAGTGCAATAGATGGAGAGATACATACTGAGGCATGTATGTGATGTAGAATAATCCAAGAATTATAACAATTGCTTTGATCATTTTTTTCTCACGTTCCAGTGCTTTACTCGCTACAGAGTTGTAGCCCTCTCTTTGAACTTCGCGTGTACGTCTCGAGAGAGCGCGAAACACGTTCGTGTAAATCACAGTCAACAAAATGGCTGGTACAGTTGCGTGCGTGTGAAGATAAATCATGGTATAAGTTTTCTCAGGAACGTTCGCCACAGGTAGAACACAGGTCGACAAAGAAATCATCCATAAAACACCGATAAATATCTTGACTCTATTTTTAGTGATGATTGTTTTATATTCCATTGGCTTATTAATCGCCACAAAGCACGTTGTTGACATAGCTACTATTGAGTAACAACTAACGAAAATTGTTGTAATAAANACTGATAAATCAAAGCTTGGTTGACTCAGTTGGCTTCCTTTGTGCTCTGTCCCTAGCACCCACAGACATTTCAATGCCACTTTGCAGCTGGCTTTGACGAAGAGAGGAAGCAAACGATTTAGGGGAGGTAATTCTCAGTTTACCACGGCACATCTTCCAGCAATCTTGAAAGGCCTGGTTATACTTCGGTACTCTCCAAGCATACACGAAGGGATTGATAGCGGAACTTATGTATAGAAACCTAGACAAGGCTACATCAATCATGTGGAAAGTTAACGACTTCTTGCATGATTCACAAAAGTGCAATAGATGGAGAGATACATACTGAGGCATGTATGTGATGTAGAATAATCCAAGAATTATAACAATTGCTTTGATCATTTTTTTCTCACGTTCCAGTGCTTTACTCGCTACAGAGTTGTAGCCCTCTCTTTGAACTTCGCGTGTACGTCTCGAGAGAGCGCGAAACACGTTCGTGTAAATCACAGTCAACAAAATGGCTGGTACAGTTGCGTGCGTGTGAAGATAAATCATGGTATAAGTTTTCTCAGGAACGTTCGCCACAGGTAGAACACAGGTCGACAAAGAAATCATCCATAAAACACCGATAAATATCTTGACTCTATTTTTAGTGATGATTGTTTTATATTCCATTGGCTTATTAATCGCCACAAAGCACGTTGTTGACATAGCTACTATTGAGTAACAACTAACGAAAATTGTTGTAATAAAAACTGTAGACATAATACCTCTGAATAATTCAAGGAAAGGCATATTAACTTGTTTGTAACGATACACATCTCTCACCGCCACGAGAGAAACGTTTAACAGCCCAAGAAGTAAGTCAGAAGCGCTCAAATTGGCGATCAATAAACATGGTGGAGTACGAAGCGTTTTTCGAGGATCCTTGTAAGTTATGAAGAGGAGAAGTGAGTTTCCCATTATAATGGTGAAGGCCAGAAAAAATCCAACGAATGCTAAAGTCAACCAGTAGCCTTTGTCTTGAATTATCGACAGGTAAATATCAAAGTTTGGATCCGAAGAATTCAGTGCCGACATATTGGCTGGCAGAGCTAACGATAACGCCACTGGAATGACCTTGAATTTACTCACGAAACCTTTAATTACGTATACGGATGTGCCAAATATCAAATGCCACCCTCCCGATATCACATTCCACTAACGTAACGCTTCCCTTATGCTCGTATAATGTGTGAATAATATTGAAGAAGCACATAAGAAATTCAGTACTTTGATTCAACTAAGAAAATTGGTATACAACAAGCATTTTAATGTTCATTGTTTAATATTTACTGATATTGTTTATAATATGCTAAGTTCTTTGCACTGTTTATACAACTGTCGGCAGGAATAAAGAATATCTTGGCTTCAGCAAAAAACTTTGAAATTGCCAGTCAAGGTAGGAAACTGATGCTCGCGTTTGTTTGAAGAATTTGCTTTTGTTAGTATTGAAACTTTTTTCTTCTAATGCTAATGAGCGAAACTGTTGTTCTTTCTCCAGTTTAGCATAAGGTTCGTCCCATGTAAAGTTCGACGTTTGACCAAAGAATGGCTTCGGATGCCGCCGAAAGCCGCCGACTTTTTACGTTCATTATTACTTGTTTTTTGTTTGTTTGTTTGTTTTTTTGTTTGTTTTTTCATCTTAGATCCCAGCTATCCTGATTAGAAAACCTAGTTACATCCTACTTCCCAATTACATGCTACTTCCAGTTGTCTCATTTTTCCAGCTCTTTCATTACAAACGAAGAAAAGTCGTTGCTGCGAGCATTGTTTTTACAGTCTCGGTGTGGGGTCTGAGCACGTTTTACTCCAACGTCGCTCCGAGGGTTCACTCTCTTGCCTCGACTGGTGGCTATTAAAATCTGGGAGCCAAAACAGGACAATAAACCTTAATGGAGACGTAAGCACTAAAATGGTCGCTGTTGTGTGAGAAAGACACATAATATATTGGAGAGCTTTACATCATTCGATGTTTTTTAGATGGAGTATTTTGAGTGTATGCAGTATCTAGGATCAGCGGAAGTTGCTGATTAATTAAAAAATAATATAAAAAGAAACCGTTTAGTCTAATAATAACATTTTCTCCCGCTTTGTTACCACTCTCCACTAAAGAAACTTTGTTCAGACACCCTTAAGGCTATACTGGATTTAATTTTTGGTAGAGTTGGTAAAACCATCTTTTGTAAACTTGTTGCGATAAGTTATCAACAAGTTCTGGTACATGGTGAAAGACATATGATGCAATTTTGTAACCAACGATCAATGTCCCTACTCAATAAACTAGGTTTCGCCCGCGAGTGTGTCTTCGGCAGACACCGAAGATTCCCTCTGCACGCAGGAAAAAACCTCTGGTACACAGGATAGTCTAAACAACGTTTTAGCTCCCATTAATACGTTAGCGGCTGACATGCTTTTCGGCAGTTAATCACAGGGATTTGAAGATACAGTTTCAACTCCCGAAGCGTTTACCCAAAAGAGGTCCCGGTACTTCTACTTTTTGACAGGGTGTTCATTGCATGCAATTTGCCAGTTATTTTAGGTATTCATGTAGATCCAGGTTGTCACTTAAGTTCTTCGTATTCGGCTGATTGGCGTACTAGTACAGCAAACTAGAATAGCACTAGATGAGTGTTAACAGCTTACAGACTAGAGAGTTTAAGCGTCACGTATACGGCAAACGTCAGATTTAAGTTGAGAATTTCTCAAAATAGAAAATTAGCAGATAAAAACAGCTCAAAACAATTTTTATAGATAAAAGATTGTGTGAAACTACTAATTTATGTGTTGAAATAATGAACAGTAAACGACAAGTAAATCGAAAGTAAAGGGGAAACTTGGTCACGTGGCACAAATTCGCGTTTGCCGTCAGACGTAAACATGTTTAACCTCTCTATTAAAACAATGGAAAACTATAAACCGTGGGACCCAACTGTGTTCGTGGTCGCTTATGAGGGGTTCTAATTATAGGGCTTTGACTAGGGAAACTTTGGTGTTTTGCACAGGTGGTCGCTTATGCGCTTGTCAGGTCGCTTACAAAAGAAAGGTCGTGGCTTACAGCCTGTTTGCTTTTCTTGACGTATATTGAAATAGCTGTGGCGACCATTAATTTTGAATTTTTTTAAATCAAGATTTCAGTTCGTAATCCACACACCTGAATTTTAACAAGGGAATTATTCTTTAAACTGATTGTACTAAAATATCAAAGGGCCAACTTAGATCTGCCAATATCACTCTCCATGTTTCAATAAGTAAATGTTTTTGAGGCTCATGTATGTTATCAAGAATTATGCATGCAGATCGAAGCGTGTGTTTCGCACTGAGGCGCGTGATGAAGCCGTGGTAGGCTACAGTATGAAATACAAATATCCTTGCAGAACTCGAGTAACCCGTGAGGAGTGGTGACGGCTTCAGAGTCGTCTCCTTCATACTCCGTTCACTCGCTTCTCAAAAGAGAAAATATTCCTCTTCGCCTTCTCCAGTGTCTAAGCTTTAAAAAATTGCTACGCCTAAAAAATTCATCAGAAATTGAAACGAGGAAGTGAACGAAGCGTGTAAAAAACAAAAACAATTATCAGAAATAATGATTAAATGATATTCCCATATTTTTTCAAAGGAGCGACAATAAAAGGTTATTTTTGTTCGGTTATTTTTATTATAGAAACTACGTGACTGATTTTCCTTCAACTATTGCTAAAAAATTATTAAGGGGTTTTTTATCGTTCTTTACTAAGGATCCTAAGCTGATGAAGGTCGCAAAGTCACGAAAACTGAGGGGGCAAAATTTAAAGCCTTAAACCGATTCTATTTTCAAGCAGTTTACTAGAAATTACCATAAGAATAACTTGGAAGCAAGAGAGAATGAGCTATAATAAGCTCATTCTCTCTTGCTGGGAAGTTAATGGTTCACAGTTTCCGACCATCCTTGATTGTCTATTTGATATTTCTTTTTGTGGTGAAGACGTTTTCTTAAACATGTCAAATGGGCACGGAAAAGGAACAATTTTCCGCGTGCAACAAAGAAATTAGGAGACGTCTGCCCACAGGGTAAAGAAACGTCGGAAGGGAGAAATGTGCCACTTTTAACTCTCTTGCGGATGTTCTATTTTTACATCATTTAGACCTAACGTTTGTCGTCGTCCTCGCTTGCCCGGGGGGGACCCAGGCTCGCTTGCTGAAGTCGTATACTACAAGTTAGCTTTTTCTTTTCCTTAAAGAAGAAAACGATCGAGCGAAATATGCGAGAGCGCGAAATATATAAACCTAACCCTAACATATTTATTTATCCAGAAAGCGCTATCTCACTTGTTTACTTAGTAACGCTTGCTTAACTTTTCTTTCTCTTTACTTTTATAGAATAATTTAAAGGTTGGATGATTCAGTTATAGTTAGCTCACTTTGTGCTCTGCTCCTACCATCCAAAAACGTTCCATTCGGCCTTTGACGCAGTGGAATAGGGATTGATTTAGGTGAAGTGATTCTAAGTTTGCCAAGGCACATCTTCCAGCAATCTTGAAAGGCCTGGCGATAAGTCGGCAATCTCCAAGCATACACAAAGGGATTGATAGCTGAATTAATGTACAAAAATCTAGACAAGGCTACATCGATCATGTGGAAAGTTAACGATTTCTTGCATGATTCGCAAAAGTACAATAGATGAAGAGTTATGTACTGAGGCGTGTACGTGATGTAAAACAACGCAAGAATTATGACAATGGCGTTGACCATTTTTTTCTCACGTTCCAGTGCGTTACTAACAATCGAGTCGTAACCTTCTCGTTGAACTTCGCGTGTTCTCCGCGCGAGAGCGCGAAACACGTTAGCGTAAATCACAGTCAACAAAATAGCCGGTACAGTAGCGTGCGTGTGAAGATAAATCATCGTATATGTTTCCTCGGACACGCTAGTCACAGGTAGAATACAGGTGAACAAAGAAATTACCCATAAAACAGCGATAAATATCTTGACTCTTCTCTTAGTAATGATCGTTTTATATTCCATTGGCTTGCTTATCGCCACAAAGCAAGTTGTTGACAACGCTATTATTGAGTTACAGCTGACGAACAATGTTGTAGTGAGAACAGTATAAATTATTCCTCTAAATAATCCAAAGAAAGGCATAGGCACTTGTTTATAACGATACACATCTCTCACCGCCACGAGAGAAACGTTGAACAGTCCCAGAAGTAAGTCAGAAGCGCTCAAATTGGCGATCAACAAACATGGCGGAATACGAAGCGTTTTTCCAGAATCCTCGTAAGTTATGAAGAGAAGAAGTGAGTTTCCTATGATAATGGCGAAGGCCAAAATGAATCCAACGAATGCTAAAGTCAACCAGTAGCCTTTGTCTTGAATAGTCGATAGATAAAAATCGAAGTTTGGATCCGCCGATGAATTCAGCGCCTCAGACATCGGTACTCGCAATGTTCGACTGGCGCAATAAACTAAAATTATCTTGAAAAATGTAATTCCCTAAATCACCTTCGCGTACGTGAGTCAAATCATAACCGAACCAGCCCTGAAATTATATCACGCCAACGTACCCTATGTAAATAGTACTGCTTGTTCCATATACATCATGTGGAAGTTTGACTTGCTGAGCTGTGTATTAGTAGCATATATAAATACGGAGTACTTTGTATTGTTGACCACCTGTCACCAGAAATAGAGAATTGCAAAAATTATCTTGCCCTGAAAATAAAAATGCACTATTTCCTTGCACTGAAGAAACTAAAATTTAAACCCGAAACTTGGCTAAACCCTGCTAGTAAAATTAGTCCACAAACTTAATCGTATCCAAAAATAGCAAAAATGTACATTTCCGGTGACGACATCCAAGATCGGCCAAGGCGATCACTTGAATTGAATTTTTTAACGATTTTTTAGCTCAACAACTAATGACTTAGTGACACTGAGTAGGTTTTGGCGGATATCCATCAGCAAAAGGAAATTGAATTCTAATTGCTCATTCAACAAAACAGTCATTAAGTAAGTTTTAAAAAAGCGTACATAACCACTCAAACTTCCATTTTAACCCCACGACCACAAGGATAATTCAAGGACCGTAAATGGACTTGGATTGACGCTTGTCAAAGTTGGTCCAACTTTTTCAAGTTTTTTAAAATGCTCTGTCTGCAAATTATTATAGTTAGTTCTCCCTGATAACATTTGTTAGTTATCGTCTCCATATCTTGTGTATGGGTAAGGGTATATTAAAAGTAATGACTTCAGCACAGAATAGCGTTGTGCTCAGACAAACAAACTAAAATAACATTGGCGAATTCCTCACTTTTGTCTGACTTTTGTCATTTAAATGTGATGTTTGTCTGTCGTTTTCCAGAAAAACCCTGCAAATTAGTCACTCTGACGTCATTCGCGCGCTGACTTATATATCCTGGGTTCCAGAGGATATTTCTTTCTTAACGATATTAATGGTTCGCGGCGAAGCCGCGTCAACGAAGCGCGAAGCGCCGAGAGAAAAAAATAACGTCTTGTCTCCGTCTGGAGAGCCTTATCAAACGGTAAGCACGGTTTATTTCATATTAGGTATTTTGAGAACGGACCTCTGGAGCCAGAGTAGCACTGACCGTAGACCTGTCAGGAAAAAAACCGCCACAAAGGCTTGTGAAACAAAAACCGCCAAAAGGCGATTTTAACCGGGCGGTCAGTTTTCGTGGAGGAGAGGGTGGCTGCCCACACTCAGGCCACCAGGCTTGTCGCTGACCATTGCGTGGCATAGCATCTCATGTTAGAATGTATTTCTAAATTAAAGGTCTAAAAGTACTCTGGATAGCCTAAAAAGTGTTGTCAGTGCATTTAGGAGAAAACCGTCGTTGGGTGCCCCTGTTAGGTCATCGCTTTTGCACACGGTGCTTGAGCTGGTGACACGATGATGACAATGAACCTGGCACTTTTTCTACGCTGACCATCGAAAAGTTCCAAATAGTCCACAGAACGTTTAATCGTCGACTCTTTTCGAAGTGCATGCTTTCATGGGGAATATATGACGGCAAAAATCAAATCCACTCGACTCGCTGAATAGGCGCTATAAAATTTATATCTGTTCGGTAATCCTAGGGCAACTTGAGCCTTTTCGAAATTACCAGGGCATCAGTTAGACTGCTACACAGCCGTTTTTAGTGTCGTCACGCAACGCTCCTCCCCACTAACGCCTCACTTATTTACTAAACTCCTCCAACTCTTTTACAAAAGAATAAGAACTAAGAACAGAGGAGAAAGTTTCACATTGCGCTACTAACAAAGAAAGTATCCACTCCAATTTCAAAGGGATTGTACGGAATCTTTGTGCGCACTTATTTACTAAACTCCTCCAACTCTTTTACAAAAGAAAGTGCTAACATTTTCGCAAAATGCTTTCCGAAAACACACACTTCAAGCTTCAAGCAGAAGAGGATCGAAATGGACACACCGTAATTGGTTGCGTTCAGTAACCAATAAGAAAGCTAGAATTTTTTTATCCCTCACTCGGGTACTTACGTACAAGGTCAAAGCTAAAGTAAACAGAACAGCTTATCGTTCTCGCCGAAGCACAGAAGAAGTAACTAGAGTTGCTCATGTTAAAGCAACTAAGCATAAAGCAAACCCGGCAACTGATGAGGTTCTCGTGGAGAACCGAAACCATGGTCTTGCCTGATCACAAAGTGGCAATAACAGAGCAGTCGTAAGACTGTTTTTTTTTTTTTCGTTACCAAATTCCTTGTATGAATTTTTTTAGGACATGGCATGAATATTTTTTAGGGTTAATTGGCGTGCATGAATTTTTTTTTGCATTTAAGAGCGGATGTCTGTAAATATCGACCAGAGGTGGGAAAAATAAAATTTTGGAAAAATCCCCAAAAAATTATGTAGACTACCCTAGGTACTCTACTAATGAAGATATAAATTTTAGTTTCATTGGATAAGTATTTTGGCGATACGGCGAATGTCAAGTTCGCGCGATTGACGACCTCCGCCAGACCGCTTTTTCGGGCCCCTAGACCCGGCCACGAAAAGACAACGATTTCAACCGAATTCAAATATCATCCAACCCAAAAAGCTTCTTATCGTATTAAAAGGGTTTTAATACACATATTGAGTGGTCATGTTCTTGAATTGATCGCAACTGGAATATTTTATGGATTTTTAAATATTTACAAAATTTTTAGGCTTTTACGCGAGCAAAATATTGTCAAATTTCAAAGGCCTAAAATCACACCCGATACATGATTTCAAACAGAAAAAGACATTCCACATTAAAAAGCAATCTCTAAGTTTTCAAAATGTGCTTTCAAAACTCTGGGCAACATATGAAATGAATTTTTGGGAACGCAAAATTCACGGAGCACTTGAGTGTAATTTGACCTTTCTGACTTGAGAGTTAAGAGCTTCGGCGCGACACAAATCAATCCTCCAACAAAAGTTTCAGCCAAAATACGTTTAATTTAGGCAATCTCAAAACCCACAGTAATACATAGATGCTTCATATACATTAGGTGGAAAGTTTCATGTCCTTTTGTCAGCCGTAAAGAACTATTACTCTGGCCTTCAGGTGCAGTATTTGAACTCGCTTCGCTAATGTAAACATGCGGGTCAAGTTCTTATCACGAAACTACACAAGTTTTCAAAATCTACAACAAATACCCATCCTTTCTAGTATATACTGAGGTCTACAATTTGTTTGTTTGTACCTTGTGTCCTTGTTTGACTTCATTTCCGCAAAGAAACTGAGACATGCCAGGCATGCAAACTACAACGAAATTCCCCCTCGCTCGACAAGTCACGTGTCTCTTGAAAGGGCCGTTTTAGACATGATTGCGTTACGTAAGCATGACACAGCGATTACTTCTGATTTGTGCAAAAAAAAATCCATCTCTAACCTATATGTTATAGGTATGCCATTGAATGAGCAGACAATCTCAGTTTTTTTTTCTTACCATGCAATTTTACCGATCTTAGGCTTGTGATCCCCGAGCGTGTCTAACCGCTATATGTAAATAACGTGTTCTTTCTAGTTGTTTGTTTCGTTGTTTGTTTTAGTTCAACACTTTTCCCCCGTCCTGATAGATCTGTCAGGTTAGGAAATAACCTAATGCGTTTCGAAATAATTCTGCCACACGCTAATATGGCCTATCATGTTCAAAGAGCTTATTACACGTAGAAAATCCTGCTACCGTCTTTGTAAGTGCACTCTCGGTCATCTACTCGCTGTTCTACCGTGCGACGATATTTACAGCGTGCGAATTTTAGGCGAGTATGGTACAAGTACCAAATACAGGAGCACAGAGTACCGGTGCGTATCGGGAGTGTAACACCGCCGGCAGGCTAGGTACGTTTTAAATCTCACTTTAAGCTGTTGTCCACCAATTGCACTATTGTAGTCACAAGGCAAGTAAAAATTATGATAAAAAAATCCCTGTTATAGTTTGCAATGAATGGGGTTCAAAGGCGCGGTTTGCAAGCTGGCTATAAATGTATTACACTCTATATGCGTTTCTAATTATTACTATTAATTATTATTATTATTATTATTATTATTATTATTATTATTATTATTATTATTATTATTATCATCGTTATTATTGTATTTAAACTCAAGCAATCAGCAGTTATAAAGCAGGCGCTGATTGGCTTAGCCTGCGTAGCATGATCCCGTAATTATCTAATCACAGGCGGCGCGAAGGAACACGCGAAGGGGAGAGAAGGCCTCCTCTCCTTTTCCCCCTTCCCCCCCCCCCCCCCCCCCCAAAAAAAAAAAACAACAACAAAAAACTGGCGCCCGCTACGCAGGTTATGATTGGCCCTACTCTGGAACGTTTTTGCGCGTGTCAAAGCACGGAAAGAACCTAGCGGGGAAGGATCAGGGGCGCGGGAGATAAAGGTTCGTTCGTGTTACACTGGTTCTTCTGGTTCGAAGATGCGCAAGAGCAGGCACCTGTGCAAGTTCCAAACCATGATAAGTTCTTCGATGCGCAAAGTACATTATGGCCCTCTTTGACATTGCGGCTAACCTACGTGCACCTGGACAGTTGCAGCTTCACGATTGCACACACCCTTCTCCCTTGGGATCACTGGAGTCTTATCTCTCTAGGCGGATGACAGTCAGATGGCATGCTGCAGAATTG